GGGCTCCAGCGTGGGGGTGGGGGACGCGAGCAGGGTGCGAAGCCCTTGGGTGGGCGCGGCGCACGGGGGCAGTGTCCGCTGTCCTGCCTCCAGCTTCAGGGGAGCCCAGAGCCCTGCGCGGGTGTCGGGGCCCCCGAGGGGCGCTGCAGCCTCCGGGGAGAGCCAGGCCCCGCCTTGGGGCTCAGCGAGCGGAAAGCAGCCCCCCGCCAGCCAATCGCACGTGGCCCCTGCCGCGTGCCCCCCCTCACCGCTGCGCAGGGTCCTCCCTGTGCGTGACCGGGGGTGCTGGAGACGCCGCGGCTGGCGCCCCAGCGGGCGTGAACTGCGGCGTGGGTCCCCCTCCGCCCTCGACCCCGCGCTCGGCTGCCCGCTCGCTCCCCTCCCGTGGACCCTGCAGGCCGCAGCGAGATTCTCCTGGCGCTGCCCCTCCTTGGCGGGCGGCCTCCTGCACCCCGGGGCGGTGCCCGCCCAGCGCCTCGCTCTCCTGGACGGCGCCGTCCCCGCCTGGCAGAGCCCCGGGGGCCGCCGGCGCAGCGTCGTCCTCACGCTGGGCAACGCGCGGGTCTGTGGCCTCGGGCAGGGGTGGGCACGGGCCTGGCGGTGGCCAACACGCTCGCCGCCCTTCTCAGCACGCCCTTGCCCCTGGTGAGCCCGCGGCCCCCGCCGCTGCCCTGGGCTGCTGCTCCCCAAGTTCAGTCTGTGGGCTCCGGCGCCCCGAGTGCGCTCACGCTCAGAAACAACGCGTGGAGGGGTGAAGCCCGCCAGCGCCCCGTGGGCGTCTGACCCCACCGCGCCTTTAGGCGCTCCGAGGGCGTCCCTGGGGTCCGGGGCTGGCCTCCAGGGCCCCCTGCTGGCGGCGTGGCCGGGTGAGGGTCCCCCGGGGCGCTGCTGCTGGGCGCAGCTGCCTTCCTCCCCCCGCACACGTCTGAGCCGGTCTGGGGTGCGCCAGGGGCTCTGCGTTCTGGCCCGGATACCCCCTGCTGCCTCGCGGCCCAGGCGCCCCTTCCTGCCGTGGGCCGGCCCCTCAGCACGAGCCTGGAGGAGGGGCCATCCGCGGCGCGGCGGAGGCGCGGGAGCCTGGAGCAGGCCCCGGACAGTCCAGAGCCGCCCGGCCCTGCGGGTGCTTCCCAGGGGCCAGCCACGGGGAGGGCGAGCGGGCCCATCTCTGGGCCGGCCCCGGCCGCGCTGCTCCAGGCCTGGCTCCGCGGCCTCCCCAGCACCCACCCGCAGGTGCCAGCGCCACCCGCTCGCCACGTTGAGGCTGTCAGTGCCCCCCCCCCGTTACACTGAAACCCCCCTGGGCACGAGTGTCGTCGCTGTCTGCAGTCATGAGTCCAGCAAGCTGCCAGACGTCTCCCCGCCTGTGGACTGAAAAACGGCTCAACCCCCATAAAATAAAAAAAGGAAAAACGACTCAACCGTCACAATAAACCTGCACAGCCGGGACTTCTCCGTCACGGTCGAGGCGACGGCTGAGAATTCACAGGCTTGACAGGACTAGGGCGGGAAGTCGCTCTCGCCGCGCCTCGCGGACGCTGCCGCACCCCGAGGCCTGGCAGCCGCAGAGCAGGGCCGCTGGGCTGAGTTGGCAGCACGGGGGTGCCGCTGATGGCCCCCCCAGGGGCCACCAGAGACCACGCGCGGCCAGGGGAGAGGCGGCCGAGCTCGAGGTCCGCCCGCAGGTCCTGTGGGCAGCACCGGGGTGTCGGGGAGGCCACGTGCCCTGGCGGCTGCTTCGCCCGGGACTGCCCCCTGCACCCTCGGCGCCGGCCCCGACGGCCATCGCCATGGGCCGCCCCCGGTGAGGCCCGTCCGCCCGCCCTTCGCCTCCACCTGGCCGTCCTGGGGCCCTGCTTGGGCCTCCAGTCCGGGTACGGTCCTCTCCCGGGAGGGGGCGCAGAGCTGGCCGCGCGGCCGCTGTCCAGGCGCTGAAACAGGCCGCGGCCGCTGTCCGCGGTGCTGAAACAGCTCCCAGCGCCCCTGGCGTTTCAGCGCGCTCGTTTGGGGGGCACGCCTGGAAGATGGGCGGTGCAGTGTGGCGGCCACTGGGCTGGAGCCCGGCATCCTGCCTGGGGCACCGGTTCCGCGGCCCAGGGGGTGGGGCACAATTGGGGCAAGTCCACGGGCAGGTGCAGGTGGGGCTCAGGGTGGTGTGCTGGAAGGCACCCCCGATGGCGGGGGCCAGGAGAAGCCCCGGGGGGCACGAGCGCCGGGCTCGAGCCAGGAAGGGGGTGCTGTGTGAGTGCAGCCTGATGGGGCGTGATGGGGATTGCGGCTCCCCGGGCGGAGGCCCCACGTGGCCCGTTGGGCGAAATGGCAGGTGGGAGCTGGGTGGCAGGCGGGGGATGAGGCGGCCCTGGGCGGGAGCGCGAGCCTCCCCCTGGGGGGCAGGGAGGCCACGTCGGGTCCCACGGGGTGGGGGTGGGGGCGCCAGGTGCTGGCTGGGCCCCGCGGGTCTCCCTGCCCCGCGGCCCGTAGAGGAAGCAGCCTGGAGCCTCCCGCCCCGCCCGCCGCCGCCAGACGGCTTCGAGCAGAGCGGCCGAGGCTCCCTCCGCGCCAAGGCTGCCGGGGTGACGGCAGCTGTCACACGGCGGGAGCGATGAGCACGCGGGCGCTGTCGGGCTTTAAAGGGCGAGGACGGCTGGGCCGCTCCTGTGTGGACACGGCGTCGCGGCCCCGCCTTCTCGGGCCTCTGAGCCCCAGGCTGCAGGGGGGCGTGGGCAGTGGTCAGGGGACGGCCAATGGGGGACAGTAGACCAGGAGGGCGGCCCCTGGGGGGCTGGCAGTGGTTGGGCGGTGACCAGGGGGGCAGCCACTACCGCTGGGTCCGACACCCCCGCCCCAGCTGTGTCCTGGGTCTGTCTGCTCCAGAGTGTGGCATGTGGTGGCCAGAACCCCCCTTTCCTCTGGGTGTGAGCGGGGCTGGGGGCGCAGAGACCCGCGTCACGCCCGGCGGGCAGAGGCCCTGTGTGCGGGGCCGGCGTGTCCGTGTGCGGGGACAGGCGGCACCAGCCTTCCCTGGCAGGAGGGAAACCGCTGAAGAGCCGCGGCGCTGCCCGGAGGCCGGCGCGGGGGAGG